CAATGAAGGAAACATTGTTTCACACAGCGATGTTTCCTATGGGGATTTTCACTCAGCGATGGCAATCCGTTCCAATTGGAACGGATTAACCAGTTTTCAATGCATTCCTATGGGAAATGGTGTTTCACAGAACGATGTTTCACACAACGTTGATTTTTTTGGAACCAATTAACATCGTTGTGTGAGGCACCACTGTATATCCAAATCTGACCAGATGATCTGGAGTTTTTAATTGTAAATCCAGCTCGATCAAAAAGCCGTCAAGTTTATTATTTGTAATCCAAGAGTTAATTGTCTGTAATCATCTGTAATTAATCCAAGCTGCAGCTCCAAAAGGAAAACAGAAAAAAAAACAGGCTTTAAAAGTTTTAGCTAAGCCAAGGTCATTATAAGAGATATCTGTTGCTCTTCATCTGGGCTCACCGCCAGTTCCACCGTTTAGACACCATTTAGACACAACAAAGTTTCAGAGTTCTGCGTCCACTTTTTAATGCCTGGAAAAATTATTCCTGATCTCCATTTGCAATATTAAGCTCAAAAAACACCCATTATTTCCCCTCTTTTGCTTTCCGAAAGGTTCTAACAAATACAGATTAATGTTCCATAGGATAGACTTCCCGTGTCCTTCTTAGCCTCCCCTTCAGAGCAGCGGACCGCTCCTTTCTTTGTCGCCGCTTTCCTTTCTCCTGCCGGGGGACGGCTTAGAATCCTTCTTTCTTTTAAGGAGTTATTTTAGTCAGGAATGTTGATAGAGTTAGTAAAAGGAGAAGAAATATAGTCTCACCCAAGTTGATAACACAATGTAAAATATCCAGAACTTAGTGCTGTTTTTCTTCAGCAGCTGATGACTTGGACAAGCTGCTAGCAAGCAAGTGGCTTGTTTTTCTCCTGCTGGTTTGAGGAGTTTCCTGGATCAAACGAAGACAACTGCCATTATCTTCATGATCTACAGGTATCTCCCCCTCGCTCATCACCTCACCCGGGTGACTTAAGCCCCTTGGGGCTCCCTAGCAGGCTGAAAAGCAGACCCTCGCTCGTCACCTCTCCGGGGTGACGTAAGCCCCTTGGGGCTCCCTAGCAGGCTGAAAAGCAGTCTCGGGGAGCAGAGCTCTGTCTCCCTGGTCTGTATCGTCACGATGTCAAGCTGGAAGTCTCAACTGCATTACTCTTATTGAGGACATAGATCAGGAGGGAAAAGAGGTGCTATGGCCTGGTGGGGGCTCACGTTCAAGCATTGTCCTCTTGGAGTCCAGAGGCAGAGTTGAGGAATTAAAATTGTGGGCACCAGCACTATTAGAACAATTACTTTTCTTGCAGCTGGCAGGCAGGCACTTGCTTCAAAATAAAGAGGGCAAATCAATGAGCTGTGCAGGCGGCTTTAGCTACCAACAAGTTCCGAATGGTATTAACTTCTGACACTTGGCCTGTTTTCCCTGGATCACTTCTTGCGTCATTCAGACTTGGGATTACAGTTTTTTTTAACAAATGTTGGTTAGGTTTACAACACAGAAGAGAAAAGGAGATGTTCATCATGAATACTTTTTCTCATTAGGTACATATTGAAATCCAATAGAAGTTACTTTGCCCTACTGTCCAAAGTAAAGTGGGATCAAATGGCAAAGAATTTTTGCCTTGTTCCTCAAGTCCCTTTCTATTCACGATTAAGCAGTAAAAATAATAGCTTTCAGTAGGCCATCAAAGAACAGGCATGGGTGATGGAAAAGGCAGAAAAAGAGAATTGCAAAGAAAAGCCTAACCCTATGTGAGTTAGAACAGGGTGAGACAACATAGACAATGCATGATTAGAGCTAAAAGCACATTAGTATTAGAGAGACAAAATCAGCAGACATACATTTTTGAGGAATCATATTTTAAAGAAATCCCATGCTTAAATCATGAATCATAAAATAAAGTAAATTAATTTGCAGGTCGCAAAGAGAGATAAAGGTTGCTGATTGTGTACCCAGATGACGTCAGGAGTCAAGAAATGCCTCTTCCCTTGATGATTTCTCTGTAATACGTTCCTAAGATTCTGACAAATTAAATTTATGAACACCACTCTCATCTGAGTCTAAATACCAGTTATAGCATTATTCTTCAACTGATGTTTATAAAGCAAACCAGCATTTCTTACTCAGCCATAGTCTGAATCATGCTTTGTTCTGAAATTGACCATAGTTTATTACAAAGTACAATCTCTGGTCCATATGACATAGCAAGTTGAAACTGAGTGAAGCTGCTGCTAAGTTGATGAAATGAAAAAGTGTCAGTATTGCAAAATTGGACTATTGAACAACAGAGAAAATCTGGAAACTACATTCCTGGTAAGCCAGAGAGGTGCAAGTGAATGTATACCTTGATACCCCTATGAACTTTAATGCAATTGTTATGATTATCTGATTTCAAACTGGTTTTAACCCTTTCAAGAATAAAGGTTAGCTGTGACAGATGACCACAGACTCAAACTATCAAGGGATGTTATAAAGTTCTATAGTGCTCTGAAGCATTGTTCAAATGTCATATTTTTGACCTTGGCAAAAGTGTAACAGATTTCAGATAAGGAAAATCAAAGATTTGATAGTTTCCATCTTTGCAGTTTCTTGATCTGATCGCCATTTAAGCCTTGTTTGCCTGTCAGATGTGCCAGCTATTCATATTATAGATGTAACTGAATAATTATCTTTACACAGTCAGAAATGGACACAAATACACTGTTGTGTTATTGAGACATTTAAATGCAAAGTAACATGCACAATTAGTATTGGCTTTTAAAACTTTGCAAATTACATTAGGTCAGATGACAGCAGTACAAGCTCTCCTCTGTCTCACATGGAAGATCAACTGCTATCACTGCCATCATCACAGAGAATAAACAGGCAGGCTTTGTAGAGAGCAGCAGCAGCAATACTAAATGGCTGCCCTTCCTCAAAACAGAGCACGGTGGGAAAATGCCTGTGCCACCCATAGTAGTTGGCCCTGAGAACCATTAGGGAGCCACACAAAAGTCATTCTGACCAACAAAGCTCACCAGAACACTAGGGTACACTCCAGTAGGGCTGGCAATGGCCTCATGTTTAATAAGTGAAGGGGCAGTCCTGCACATGAGATAATGAGTGGCTAGGCAACTGAGGACTACTACACATAGCTTCAATCTACCACTCAGGAATCAACTGCTGCTCATCATAAATAAGAAGTCAAATAGCCAACTGTATGGTTATTTTTAAATACTGTAGTTGCATTATTGTTTTCTGTAAATTTGTAAAGAGGACAAAATACCAGTTTACTAACCAAATACTTTACATAAATACCAAACTCTACATACGTCTTTAATCTGAAGGGTGTCCTTTAGCTGTTTTTCACTTTCTTGTAATTTCTCAATGGTCTTCTCAAGAATGTGCTTTCCATCTAAAAGCTCTTTGACTTGCACCTATAATTTGAAATGGTAGCAGTAATGCTCAAAAATACAAAACTGAAAGTCAAACATAAAGGGATGTATCTCTGGTAATTCAGTCTCTAGATTAGGGGGTCATAAGGACCTTTAAGGCTTATTATGCACCATACTGTATGGATTGTCAAGGCTATGAAAGAGAACCCCAATAGAGAAAATACTGTGAAATCCTGATATTACACCATTAAATATGTTATCATGATTACAGAAAAAGTTGTGAAATACATCAAGCTAGAAACAATAAATTTTTACTGGAGAAAACTGTCTAGATTTTGTGCATGACTTGTCAGGATATATGACAGAAGCAATCAAGAAAATCATGGAAAGGGTTGTGGGTATAGCAAAAAAACGGTATAGGGTAAAGGATTTCAAGATATGGATCTTGGAAAAATTAAAGAACTAATGGACACCACACCAGAGGAATTAACAGAAGACATCTTCATGGAGCAAAAGTTTTAAAAAGCAAAGCATGCTGCCTAGATACTGCTCCATAGCACTTAAAGCACTCACTAGGCAGTTTACAATTATGCAGGCTACACATTGCCCCTTCAGCAAGCTGGGTACTCATTTTACTGACCTCAGAAGGATAAAAGACTGAGTCAAAACTTTGAGCCAGCTACCTAGGATAAAACCCTGGGTTGTGAGCACAGTTTTGGCTGCTGTACAGCAGTTTAACTACTGTTCCGCAAGGCTCCTGGAGCTGAGTACTTCTGAACCAGTGCTGGATGATGAGGAAAAAGACATAGAAGCAACAGTGCCAGAAAACAAATTGACATTAGACAATCTTACAGAAGGGTTCTTATTATTCAAGCTCAAAAACTGATGAAATGATAGTCACCAGTGCATTGGTAACTCTGACCCTGATATAGCTTCTTTGGCTCATGGGTGATTGTTTCAAGTGGTCTCTCTGCAATTATACATTATAAGCTGCAATCACATTCACTCCCACTGTAGGACTGATTAGACGTGACATAAGTTTTATAGTTCCAAAGTAATTTTCAGAACAAAAACAAAACAAAAAAACCTTGAACTTTATTCTGATGAATTGGGCAATACTACAGTTTGTCCAGAATACTCTTACTACTCACAGTTGAAAGTCATTATACAACTATTCCATCTTTTTTGGCTTAATAGATTTTGGTTCTTGTAGGTTTTTTGGTCATATGCAAATCTCTGTAACTTTCAATGCCTTGTAGCTGGCAGTGGGTGCATGGGTGCAAATCTGACCTCCTATTGGGACACAAGGTCTACAGAAAACCCACCAACACAGATGGGTACTGTAGCATTCAGCCCTGCCCTCACCTGTCCGTCACAGCTGGGCAGTGGAACATCAGCCAATGAGGGGACAGAAGGTAGTGCAGAAGGGGGAGGAGCTGGAATATATAGAGGGATGTATGATGAGGGAGAGGGGAGACTAGAGAGAGATTTTGTGAGAGTGAGTGATGAGTGTGTCTATGGGCCTGTGAGCCAAACAGTCAGTGAGGGAAGAGTCTGTGTGTGTCAGTGAGTGAGAGACTTGATTAACATTTGGTGATTTACTTACTTTATTTTGTTAAACCAATAAAAAAGTTTAAGTTTTGAAGAAACACATGATTCAGTGATTTATTGGTATTGAAACAGCAATACCTGGTGGCAGCTACCTGAGAAGAAGAGTGAGCACTCCTGGAGGCCTGAGTTGGTAGAGGCTTCAGCGTGCCCGCTACAGGTACCTACACAAAAACTCCAACCACCACCCACGACAAAAAGATGCATAGTCAAAACAAATCGGAACTGTGAAACTCAATTTCTCAGCACTGAACTCAACCACCTGAATTGTCCCAATAGGAGTTCAGATTTGCGTATGATCATGACATCTAAGAAAGGGAGTTGGCCCTCAATTTCTTTTTCCATGGTGAACTGTATATTTGGGTGGATGCTATTGAGATGGTTTAGAAATTCTTCTAGTTTTTCTTCACCATGGCTCCAAATTTCTCAGCACCTGAATTGGGCCCTACAGGCAAATAGCTATTCCAAAAATGAAATCAGAAGAGCCATCAAACCGAGAAACAACAACAACACCGAACTGAAGAAGAAAAACAGCCACCCACAAATAAAGTATTTCTGCCATACATCAAAGGAGTCACAGATTACATGGAGAAACTTTTGAAAAAACACAACCTATAAACAGTATTCAAGCCCACCACAAAACTACAACAAATGTTACGGTCAGCAAAGGACAAAAGGGACCCCCTCACATCTGCAGGAGTATACTGGATACATTGCAGTTGTGGCCAGGTATATATTGGGACCACAAAATGCAGCATCCACACCGGAATCAAAAAACATGAAAGACTTTGCAGATTAAAACAACTGGAAAAATTGGCAGTAGCTGAACATGCCCTGAAACAAGCTGGACATCAAATCCTATTTCAAAACCCAGCTGTACCACACCACACCAGCAATCATTATGTTAGACTACACAGATAAGCCACTGAAATCCATAAATATCAGCACAGCTTCAACAAAAATAAAAAATCTAAAATTCAACAAAGTCTGGCTCCCAGCACTGGAAAATACAGCCTGAAAAAAAGTCAACAAACTCTACCCAGCCACAAGGACAGGTGACCACTGCACACAATAGACTAGCTAATGATACCCATAAATCATAGCAACAGATCATTTCCCCCTTATCACAACAATGCACCCATAACAAAAACAACCTGATCACCATAATCACCCAATCTCCTGAAAAGGACAAAAAGCTGATCCCCAGCTACAAATACTCAACTATTCCACACACTACACCAGAACACAGACAGTGTTCTAACTCCTGTTCTCTGAAGATGCCAGCCACAGAGACTGGTGACATGTTAGGAAGAAACACCTCTAAAATATGGCCAAACAGCCCAAAAAACCTACAACAACCATCCGATCCTGGCCATGAAAGCCTTCGAGAATACATTAATAGATTTTATTCAATAATAATAATAAAAAGGGGGGGAAACCCTTGGGGAAACCTGGAAAGACTCCAAATTGAAGATGATGTTTGGAAAAGACATAAATTGTCATATTAGGAAGAAACACCTCCAAAATATGGCCAAACAGCCCAAAAAACCTACAACAACCATCCGATCCTGGCCATGAAAGCCTTCGAGAATACATTAATAGATTTTATTCAATAATAATAATAAAAAGGGGGGGAAACCCTTGGGGAAACCTGGAAAGACTCCAAATTGAAGATGATGTTTGGAAAAGACATAAATTGTCATTAATATGTAATCTGATTGCATAGATTGCACAGAAGCTTCTTTGAAGATACTGGCTGAAATGCTGTTTCTTAGTTACTTATCTAGAGGACAAACTGTAATTTTCAGTGCCTTGTAGCTGGCAGTGGGTGCATGTCTCCCAAGAATCTCAGCAACAACTTGTTATTTGCTAGCTAGAAATGACTATTTCCTTTACATGCATGAATAAGTAACAAGATTTTAGCCATTTGTGATTAAGATTAAACAAGAGAACACAAGAATCTTACCTGTATAATAGTGTCATCAGACTTTCTAGCTTCTTTTTCCTTTAGTAAAAGCATACATTCTGATTGTGCACACTCTAATTGATGCTTCAAATCTTTTTCAACATTAATAGAACTTCCCTAAAGTAAACAGTAAAATACTTAATACCATATTGTAAGTAGATATATTGAAAATATCAATGATATTTAAAAACAGTTCTATAAAATTAATACATTGTATTACCAAGACATAGGTAACTGTTAATGTGGATACAGATCAGGGGCTATAAAGCTGTTGGAGAAACAGAGACAGTGGTGGCTCGACTTACAACCATAATCCATTCCAGAAGATGGACATAACTCAAAATGATTGTAAGTCGAAGCACCACTTCCCTTTGGAATGCATTGAAATGCAATTAATCCATTCCAGACGAACAGAAAGATCAAAAAAAAAAAAAATCACTGCAAGACTCATTGGAAATGTGATTAACCCCTTCCGGCCAAAGGGGGGGGTGAGAAAAACAATCAAATGTGCAAGACTCATTGGAAATGCACAGAAAACAAATGGAGCAGATCGGAAATGCACAGAGAACAAAGGAGGCAGGTTGGAAATGCAAAGAAAACAAAGAAAAAGCAAGGAAAGCATGCAGGACCAATCGGACATGGGGGAACCCCCCAAAAAGCAACCAACCCCCCTAAGACCAATGTGAAATGTGGGGGGAAGCCAAAAAACAAACAAACCCCCCAAGACCCATCAGAAATGGGGGGAAAACCCAAAAAAGCAAACAACCCCACAAGACCCATCAGAAATGGGGAAAGCCAACAAACAAACAAACCCCCCAAAACCCATCGGAAATGGGGACACTTCCAAAAAAGCAACCAAACCCCCAAGACCCATCGGAAATGGGGGAAAGGTAAAAAAAAAACAGTCCCCCCCAAGACCCTATCGGAAATGGGGGGGAAACTCCAACAGCAACAAAAAAACCCAAGACCCGTCAGAAATGGGGAAAAAAACAAAAAACAACCCCCCACGACCCATTGGAAATGAGAAAACACACACCAAAAAGCAACAAAAAACCCCAAGACCCATCAGAAATGGGGGGAAACACCAACAAACAAACAAACCCCTCAAGACCCATCACAGCACAGAAACTTAACCCTCCCCCAGCTCAAAATCACGCTGCAAAAACACCCAGAACAGTTTTTAAAAAGCAGAAAACAGCACCTTACCTTACAAGGCAGCCCGAAGCCTCCCTGCAAACACACACACATGCTCTCAGACCCAAGACCCTATCGGAATTGGGGGGGAAACTCCAACAGCAACAAAAAAACCCAAGACCCGTCAGAAATGGGGAAAAAAACAAAAAACAACCCCCCACGACCCATTGGAAATGAGAAAACACACACCAAAAAGCAACAAAAAACCCCAAGACCCATCAGAAATGGGGGGAAACACCAACAAACAAACAAACCCCTCAAGACCCATCACAGCACAGAAACTTAACCCTCCCCCAGCTCAAAACCACGCTGCAAAAACACCCAGAACAGTTTTTAAAAAGCAGAAAACAGCACCTTACCTTACAAGGCAGCCCGAAGCCTCCCTGCAAACACACACACATGCTCTCAGAAGCAGAAGGAGGCAGTCCCAAGCCTCCCCCGATGCACACTCTCTAACTGCTGGGGCGAAAGAGCTACAAAGAAGCAGCCTCGTCGCCACCTTCAGTTAGAAATTTGAATTCCCCGCCTTTTCCCCCCTGCCTATTTCTGTTCGTAAGTTGAAGCTCCGGTCGCAAGTAGAAGCAAAATTTTGCAGCTGGAGCTGGTCCTAACTCGAAATGATCATAAGTAGGGATGTTTGTAAGTAAAGGCACCATTGTACTGAAATTGCTATCCAGAGCAAGGGTTAAGATGAATAACATATCCCTATTCCTATCTAGGGCTGGCTGCGTAAGATGGAACAGGAATTAGAAGTTTGATTTCCACAGTGTACATTTAGGAGAACAGTCAACCTGTGTGGTCCTTTTTCCCATGTCAAACAGTGCCATCAGCAAGTCATATATCATAACTGCATGTCAGTGTAGACAGGCTCTTAGGCAAACTACATAGTCCTAGAAAAACATTAGAAGAAGGTAATGGTAAACCACTTTTTAGTATTCTGTATCAAATGCTGGAAAGGGGTTGCCATAAAATGGAACCAACTTCACAACAGACAATAATAATTGATATATCCCTTTCTACACAGAATTAATCCCACTGAGTTCAATTAGATTTGCTATCTAGTATATCTGTACAACTCACCAAGGCTTTTGCCATTTCTTCAACTTGTTTTTCTTTAGCATTTTTCACTTTAGCCATTATGTCTACAATAAACATAAATAATACAAGAGGGTTGAATATTTACTTTTTGTTTTCGTCTTACCAAGTTGCTGAACTCCACTCAAATCTTAAATATTTACATTTTGGCTAAAAGTAAAAACTTAGCATTGTCATTAATTGCATGCTTAAAATTATATTGCTCCATTGCAGCAAATATGTTTCAGTTGAGATATTCTTCATACATTTCATTTTAAAAGTATATTTGTACAGTATTTTTCATTTATGCCATGAATAAACTTGTAAGCACCAGATAACCACAATAGGTATGATTATAGAGAGAGAGAAAAGCTTTACAACTGTACAATGTATCAGGTAGCTATTGTTGGTTAATTTGCATTATAGTATTGGACATTGATTCAAATCCAGTGGTTCTGGCATGCAAGAGAAATTGCCAGAATCTGTGGGAGTACATGCACAATAAGGTAGACAAAAACAGATATGCCACTATCAAAGACTACTGGTTTTATGCAATTAAGACAGACTGGTGCTGAGCAGTGCAGGTATCACATCTGAAGAGTGGCTAATATTCACCTGGCAGGCCAGTAAGCCGATGTTCTAAAAATCTGTACCCTTAACACAGAATATAAAATAGTATCAAGCCCCAAAAGGAGGAGAAAACTTTAAGGGGAAAATTCTATTCAGTCCTTCAACTCTCATAGTGGTCTTTTACACCAGTAGTTGGACTCTTTCAGTTCTTGGGTAATAAGGTACTTGTGACCTCCTTATACAAATATTAGTCCCATTTATTGGAACATGACTACCTCTGGCTTTTGCAACAGCAACTGCAACAATATGGGCAGAGAATGTACAATGTACTGCCTGCAGAGCAACAGAACATTGTTCTAGATTTTCTCAAACTATCTAGGTCTGTTTAAATCAGAATTACATCTGTGTGAGCCAATCCTGCTGCCTCCTCCATGATAAGAGGGTGAAACTTTGCAGAAGAAGAAGCTTTATTAAATTGGAGAGAGAGAAACCAACTTGTGCCAAAAGTCTTTTACAGAATTGGGTCCAGAATTGACCCTGAACAGAAACAACCTTTGGCAGGCCCAGACAGGCAGCGGGTACGTAGCCCTTTGAAAAGTCCTTAGCAGTACTGGGTCCCTTGTCAGACCCAGACTGGGAGCAGAAGAAGTCCTTGGGAACTCATGCCCCTCTGGGCAGGTAATAAATAAGTCCCCAACTAGGTCCAGCTCCTGCAATGAGCCACAGACCCTAGTCCAAAGGATCAATACAGCTGTATGGGCACCAGGTAGCTACTTCACTCTCACAGTTAGTAAGTCTAGCTTGTTCAGAATGTCTCCTAAGGAAAACCACCAGGGGCTTTGCACACAGCCCTTCTGCAGCCACCCCCTCCAGTTCTTGGTCACTGACAGGAGGAACATCCGTGCACATCCCCTCCTCGGCAGCATAACCTTAGGCAAGGCAGAAACTGCTTTGGGAAATGTCTGGGCATAGCACGTGGAGGCAGGAATCAGGCTGAGTGTGCTAGCTGGAGAATTCGGGTTCAAGGCAAGAGGGCAGGGGACTGGTCGTTTGCCTGCTTTGTTCCCAGGAGCACCCACCATCAATCTAACTTTCCAGGTGCCTTGGGTCTTGGAGCCTCACCACAACCTCATCTCACCCTGGCAGTTTCTTCAGGCGTTGCAGCCAGCCCTCTTTGCAGCAGTGGCTCAGCACAGACTTCTCCCTTGAGTGCAGCCCAGTCTTGCCAGTGTTTCTCTCGTCTTCCAGTTTGCCTTTTATCTCTAGCTCAGCCATCCCCACAAGTTGCAGCTGCGTTCTCCCTAGCCTTGCCCCAGGATCCAGGTGTAGCACACTGAGAAGTAATGCCTGCCACATAAGATGAGGTGGTCTGGCCACTATGCCTGCCAGCCACAGCTGGGGCAGGCTCGCAATCTTTTTTTATGTCTTAATGCCATGGCTATGTAATGGCTGCAAATCAGCAGCCTATCTGGACTTATTTGTGTCATGGTTGTGAATATTAAGGTTAAAACCTGAACTGAAGATAGGATATGTAGTTGTGGAGAATTATAGAATGAATCCATATTGGTTCTATGTTAGAGTGATTTTGTACGATGGGAATGTTTTCTCCAAGAGGCAATGGGAAAGTTCCATGTAAACAGCCATGTTTGAGATGATAAGGGCTAAAGACCGTTGTCTGGATCTAGACCCGAGACGAGGAGGGTAAAGACTGTTGTCTGGATCTAGACCCAAGACGAGGAGTTGGAAAACAACACCTGGACTTCTCATGGGAAAAGGAGGCGTGGTGTGAATGGACTGTCCTTTACGCCATTTGGTCAACACCTCGAATAGACGAAGAAGATAGGTGGCGCCAAGGAGAGAGAAAATGGGGGATGGTGCCACATGGACAGAGCTTAGAAAGCTTCCAGACTCAGATGCCTGATTCCAGTTTTTAGCAAGCCATTTTGTATGCTTTATGCCAAGATGTAGTATACCCTTAAAGAAGCTTTTTAGAATTTTGTTTTATTTTTGCTAGTTGAATTTTGTTATGATTTTAACTGCAATGTCTTTCGGAAATGTAACTTATGCTTTGCTTATGCAACAAACGGAATATCTTTAAAGACTTTATTTTCCAATAAAAATGTATTCTTAAAATCCTTAAGAATGGTCTTTTGAATCAGGAAGTCTGCTGAGCCTGCTTCCAGAAGAGTTGTTAGGCCACGGAATGCTACAGAGTCCTTTTGCATGAGTTTTGTTCGTCCTGGCAGACTCCAAAGCTCATGAGTTTTCTCTTTTGTTTTTCTTGCTTAGCTTACCTAAGTACAAGCAAGGGTCTTTTTTAGAACAGATTTGTGATAAGGGGTTTGTGTTACATCCTGGCTGAGTCACCTGGACTCTGCTCAGTTGTTTGGGACTACACAAACACCCGGACACTCTATGTTCGGGAATCAAGCAATCCTTCATCGGATGCTGGGTTCTGACAATTTGATCTCTTTACACTAAACACCACTTCTACTCAGATAAAAACAGAAGCATCACAAGAATATTCAAGTAATGAAAAGAACAGTGTAATATAAAGTTAAAATGATTTTAGAAACACAGCATACCTAATTCAGCTGACTTCTTCTGGAGTTCCAAAACCAACGCATCAGATTCATTCCTAAGTTCCTCCAGTCTAGTAAAGGAAGTGAATTTAAATTATTCAGCTTATTATTTAATAATGAACTTTAGCCAGCTGAATGAGTTGGAGTAACTGGTTGCAGATGAGGGTTGGGAGTTTGATTCCCTCATTGTGCCTTGTAGGTGAAAGCCAGCTTGTGTGACCTTGGACAAGTAAATGGGTCCCAGAATGCCCCAGAAGAAGGGAATGGCAAACCATTTTTGAATATTCTATACATAAAAAACTTGGAAAGGGTTGCTGTCTATAGCGTTCACCTCTTGTTATGTAAAATAAGTCATGTATTATTCATGTATAGGCAAATATGGGGGAGAGTCGGAGCCACTAGAGAGGTAAAGAGGCGGAGCCTGAGAGAAGTCAGTCAAGAGTGAGTTGGTGAGAGAGTTAGTCAGTGTCAGAGACAGAAGAGTTATTAATAGAGCTAAGCTGGTTATGATAAATAGATAGAGAAGGTGGTAATTAATTATATGGCATGAAGAAAGTATGTATAGAGAGACCTGTGAATGATTTGCTTGTGTACAATGAACAACTGAAGAACATCTGTGATTATTAGTAACTTTCCTACACTTCAATGAATAAGTTCTGTTTGCATTTACTAGACAAGTGTTTGGACAAATGTCTTTTATCTTGTGGATAGAGGTAATCCACTGGTGGCAGGGAGGGAAACAAAGACTGGAACCTTCGTGAGGGCACAAAAAGTTGGTGCTTCACAGAGGTGAACATCACACTTTCACTTAAAATGGACCTAACAGCATATAATGGATTAAATCAGAATATTACCTTCCAATGTGCAAGAAAATATATTACACTTACTACTTGAAAATGTATGCCTGTAAATGCCTACTACAGAAACATGGTCATAAGAGTATGTTTGTGTGAGTTAGCAGGTAAATTACAGTTCTCATTTTCCTATCCTCAACTAACTTGGTCCTGCCTTTCTTTTTTTTTGGCCAGCACATGAGAAGAAAAAGTAAAGAGTCTGTAAATAGCTAAATGTGTTACAGTAAATCAAAGATATTTGTGTGCATCAAACTCTTTGGAGGAAAAAACAGCAACCCTGAGTAATGCACAAAAAAGCTTGGAAGGTTACTGCTATTAATCTCACCTCATTGCTGGCAGAACAGGCATCTGATCTCTGATTTAGTCTCCTCATATTAATTATTGTAAAAATATTATTTAAGAGCATTAACCATTATCAATAACTTATTCAAAATTGTTTTAACAACAATAACTAAAACAAAATACACTATGTATTTTCTAGCCAGAGTTGTGGTTTTAAGTCCCACTGATTTCAAGAGGAAAGAGATGTGTAGTCAGCATTCATAGTATCAGCTGACTGACATACATATTAAGTCAAATTATTTAACATGTATGCATGAGTGGATTCCCAAAATTTCAACAGTGATCTTCCAAAATAATCACCACATTTTTCCCACGTTAAGACCCCCAATGTATAAGATGACCCTCAATTTTTACTCACGGTGGAGGTGAAGGAGCAGCCGCACTCAGCCACCCCTCGTGACTGCCTATTGACTGCTGCCTTGGCTGCTGCACAATCACCTCCTCCAGTGCCACTCACGGGCTCCCTTCAGGCAGGGGACAAGTCAGCAGCATGAGCTAGAGGTGAGCCCCAGCAGTGGTGCTAGAGCAGGCAATCAGGTGGTGGTGGCAGCAGTCAATGGGAAGAGTGGTCAAAATGACCAGATAGGCGAGGTATTAAATAAATAAATAAATAAATAAATAAATAAATAAATAAATAAATAAATAAATAAATAAATAAATAAATAAATAAAGCCACAAGGGACACCTCAGCATGGCTGCTCTTCCACCTCCACCTCCTCCTCCAGTGCCACCACCAAGGCTCATCTTCAGCTCACATCACCACCTTGTCCCCTGCCCAAAGGGAGCCCATCAGTGATGCTGGGGAAGGTGAACGGGCAGCAGCAGCAGCAGCAGCAGCAGTCAGTAGGCAGTTGCGAGAGGTAGCCAAGTGCAGCTGCTCCTTTGCCTCCACCTCTGACTCCTGCTGCTGCTACCTTTGCCCAATCGCTTCCTTCAGCACCACTCAAGGGCTCCCTTCGGGCAGCAGACAAGGTGATGGCGTGAGCTGGAAGTGAGCCCTGGCAGTGGCGCTGGAGAAGGCAATTGAGCAAAGGTGGCAACAGCAGCAGCAGGTGGAGCCAAAGGACCAGCCATGCTCGGCCACCTCTCGTGGCTGCCTATTGCTGCTGATGCCGACGCCCAATCACCTCCTCCAGCACCATTTATGGGGCTCACCTCCAGCTCACATCGCTACCTTGTCCTTGCCCAAAGGGAGCCTGGAAGTGGTGCTGGAGGAGGCAATCAGGCAGCCATGGCAGCAGTCAATGGGCAGCTACGAGAGATGGCTCCTTCGCCTCTGCCTTCTTCCATGTATAAGACAATCCTCATTTTTTCTGAGAATTTGATTGACCTCCAGGGAAAAATCAGAAATCTATGTCCTCATAGCTGGAGTATATTTCAAAAGAGGGTAACTCCACTGTGACCTAAATGAATATACTGCACCTTCTATAATCTTCCCTTCTTCTGAATATCCTTTTAATTTATTTGCCGCATGAAAGAGAATTGAATGTCCAAAAAGTTTCTACTTTTCTTCCTTTTATAGGTATATTCAATCAGGTATAAATGAGTATGTGGTTGTATATCTAATGAATATTCAATACCCAATACAATGATATAAAAATGTGAAAATTTAATGGACTTAATCAACTAAATAAAAATGTCAGTAACTATTATAATCAAAACTTGAAATATTCTACAAAAAGCAATAGAGTGGTTGAAATGGAATAATAAAACTGTAAATCAAAGTGTTATAAAATGCTTCAGAACAAAAGAATAAAAACTATTAAAAAGACTTATTCTCTAAGCTGTAAAGGTTTAACTTTGCATTAAGTCATATCTATGAAAAATAACAAGCTTTTATTAGTGAAAAACTATACTAGAGAATAAGCAATAATGAAATAACATCCGTATACCAAAATAAATAAATAATCATTAACTGTGAATATTCTCAGTCATCCAGGTGTGGTTATCTGGAAGTTGAGTCATGGCAACTGGACTTCTTTTTTGTTGGGTTGAAATGTTTCACTACTAATCCACTACCATATCTTTACAGATCTCCCACCAACTCTCCTCAGACTGAAGAAACTGCTTGGATGAGTAGCAAAACGTTTCAACCTAACAAGAAATAAGTCCAGTTGCCATGACTCAACTTCCAAATAATCCTTAACGTGCTCTATGGCAGATATCCCCCCCAATGGCATTTTCCTCACACACTTTGCTCTTTGCCCTGGCTATCATTCCTGATAAATATTTATATTCTCAACAACATTTTTATAAGTTAAAACAATAATATTTGTAAGGCTTGGAAATCTAGGAGCTTAGAGGTCTAGGAATGATTTTTTAATAGAAATCTCAATTATTTCAGCAGAGTTTGTAGCTTCAGAGGTTTGTAACTTAATATCTGGCATGTTGCCATTCTACTACGGTAATAACATTTGCTGTTTTGACTAGGCCTTTTTCAAATCTTGGAGACCACTGCATTAAAGATCTAAAACCATACATTCTTAGAAAACTCTCTATAATATAAAAGCATTGAAACTTCAAAGAATGTAAATGATCATGTCTAAACATGTCACCTCTAAATTGTAATCAAAATCTCATTCAGCTGTCAGAATGTGACAGCTGAATGACAGAAGGTGAAGGCTGCCAGTAGATCATTCTTCCCCGTGCGAGCCAGGAGGTGAGGCTGAGGAGCATGACGCCGAGGGAGGCCTGGAGGGAGAAGACAAGAAACCGGGCCTTCTCGGCGGTGGCTCCTCGCCTTTGGAACAATCTCCCTCCTGAGATTCGCGCGGCCCCTTCGCTGGGTACATTCAAAACTCAATTAAAAACATGGCTTTATGTCAAGGCCTTCCCTCCTGCCAGCTTCTAAGCTAATTTAAATTATTCCTTTCTTCTTTCCTATTTATTATTTATGATTACTATGTTCTGTTATTGATATTTTGTACTTATGTTATTATAATGTTATACTTTTTGTGTTAGCCGCTCAGAGTGGTACTGACCTACCAGATGGGCGGGATATAAATCAAATCAAATAAATAAATAAATAAAATTAGGTATGCTTGAGACAGCTGTGGTGGGACCTTCTAAAAATAACTGAACAACACCAAAATGTAGACTGGAACTAGAATGCCACACTAGCCTAGTTTAAATGTTACTACTCTTCTACAGCAACCCTCAGTTCCTCCTTGAACAAGTGAAAGGTTTATGAAAGTTAAATCCTGAAGGAAGGATTCTAAGAGAAGAGAAGGAGTCAAGCAAAGACATAACCAGAAGCCTGCTTCTTACTGAACCATTTCAATTGCCCCATAGGACAACAGAATCCTGATTAACTTTTATGTGTTATGTTGATTTGTGAAGGAGAAATAAGGCAGAGAGAGAAAGATGAGAGTGAGCCGTCCCCTCAAATAGAAGTCTGTTTAGTGGAGGAAGGAAGAGGGAAAAAGGAGGAAGAGTTAACTCTACCAATGTTGGAGGAAGATATAAAAGATCAGAGAAGAGGGAGAGTGTTCAGTATATCCAGGGGAGAAAGAAGGAAAGAGGAAAAAAGTAGAGAGAGGGAAAAAGGTGAACAGAGATATGAAAGAGTGTGTGGGTTATTAGAAGATTTCCCTAATTTGAAGGTAGGATTTCTACCTGACCCTGACTTGTCAAAGGGAAAGGGAACATCGACAGCAGTGCTAGAATGGACAGTTGTGGTCTTTCTGCAGGGACCAGGTCACTTGAGGAAGGTAATCTGACCTGACCAATCTTTCAGCCAACCACCACTGGAGGGAGATTGGGTCAGACACCCTTGTTACGGGACAATTTGCGAGGTTCGGGATGCTCCAATGAGGAAAAACACCGACCGGGAATGTTCTGGACCAGACCCTCAATGAACCCTGCCAATTTACAGACGGAGTCCTTGTCTTCATACTTAGGACAGTTGCCGGATATCAGTTGTTTTTAACCTATAGAAGTTGTTGTGGAACCACCAAATGTTAATCCAAATACATCTGTTAATATTTTAAAAGAGGCTCAGTCGTCATTTTGTACCAAAAGAGCGGAGCTGCTTCAAATTTCTAACGAACTCAATCACAATATTATATTTTTTTTCTATCCTGTTTTTACGAATAGCATGCCTCAGATGGGTTTCTGAGATCAAGAACTTTTGGCTCTCCAGATGTCTTGGTTTTCAATTCCAAAAGCCTAGTCAGAGTGACGAAAGATAAGGAATGATGAGAATTATACTCTTAAAATATCTGGATGGCCAAAGGTTCTCCCGGCTTGCCATAAATAGATCAAAAGGTACAAAAAGAGTGAGCATGCTATGGGTTTTCATTATTCTTGATGTTAAAAACTTAGGGAGAATTTCTGGATTTTTTTCTCCCCCAAATGTTTTTTCTTTTTGTTGTTTAGTTGTTAAGTCATGTCCAACTCTTCATGACCCCATGGACCACAGCACGTCTGGCCCTCCTGTCTTCCATTGTCTCCCGGAGTTGGGTCAAATTCTTGTTGGTAGCTTCAGTGACACTGTCCAACCATCTCGTCCTCTATCGTCCGCTTCTCCTCTTGCCATCACACTTTCCCAACATCAGGCTCTTTTCCAGGGAGTCTTCTCTTCTCATGAGATGGCCAAAGTATTGGAGCCTCAGCTTCAGGATCTGTCCTTCCAGTGAGCACTCAGGTTTGATTTCTTTCAAAATGGATATGTTTGTTCTCTTTGTAGTTCAGGGGACTCTCAATAGTCTCTTCCAGCACAATTCAAAAGCATCAATTCTTCAGCGGTCAGCCTTCTTTATGGTCCAGCTCTCACTTCCATACATGGCTACTGGAAAAACCATAGCTTTGACTATGCAGACGTTTGTTGGCAAGGTGATGTCTCTGCTTTTTAAGATGTTGTCTAGGTTTGTCATCGCTTTCCTCCCAAGAAGCAGGCGTCTTTTAATTTCGTGGTTGCTGTCATAATCTGCAGTGATCAGGGAACCCAAGAAAGTAAAATCTGTCACTGCCTCCATATCTTCCCCTTCTATTTGCCAGGAGGTGATGGGACCAGTGGCCATGATCTTAGTTTTTTCTAAACCAATGTTTTTTCTAAACTAATATAAAGTTTTTATAAAAGAGATGTTAACTAAAACTGTTTAAATGTAAATAAGTAACAATAACAACACACAATTGTATTGAAGGGACAACAAACAAAATGGTCTGGACAATATCTAAGAAGGAATACTTAATGCCCATGACTTAAAATTAACAACTGAAATATTAATTTAATGCTAATTACACAGGGTTTCTGAAGAAATTCTCATGTCACAGCAGTGCTAACCATGAGGGGAGGTGGTTGAGCAAAAAAACAGGTGATTAGTAGTAGGAGGTATCTATTTGACTTCATTCTGACTTTCTTACTTCTTTCTCCTTGACATATGGAGAAGACACACCACGTACATCAGGTATCAGGTATTGATTCAAAATTATTTTAATCTGTTAAACATAGGAAATATGATAGTTTAAGTTTCTGCTTTCAACAAGGCATGAAATGAGAGTCATAACCTGAAAAGTCAGATAGTGACAAAGATACTTGAAGTATATATGCATGCATGGGCCTTGACTTAAATGTCAAAAAAGGTACACTACATGGAATTTAATTGCTGTTAAGTACCAATAATTCTAAGGATGACAGACATTAAGACTTCAGATTGAGTTATTTACTTTCTTTAAAACATCTGTTCATCACAATTTTGTCAATTTAGAACTCCCAATGTGATTTATGATACATCAAAATGAAGAACTGATTTTAAAAATTCAGAACGAATTAGACATTCCGAAACAGATTTAAATCATCTAAGAACACAACCAAAACATTCTCCTAAAGTCGATTTAAAAAAAGGAAGAAAGCAAAGGCTCTTTCAAACGGTATAATTTTAGCTGCCCGTCTGAAGCCCCCCCCAACAAGAGATGGAGTCAGCCTATCTTCTGTGGGAAGGGGGAGCTCCACAATCAGGGACTGCTACTGAGAAAATCCTGACTTACATACCCACCAGTGCTTGAGGTCATATGACATGAAACAAAGCCTCCGTTGAAGAATTCAAACTTATGTGAGGTACATGACTTGTGAAATGCATTCCTTAGTGATGGAAAATGTATATAAACTGGGGAAAGAGTGGTTGTATTTCACAGTTCTTGTAAATGAACACTTTGCAACATGATGGATTTTATAGCTCAGGTAAGAAAGGGGAAAAACTTGCTAAAGGGTTTATTTCTAAATTGTTATGCTTTGATGTAACTGAAGATTTCTGAATTCCCAAAAATGTGTTCTGTATTTTTTAATGTACTGTACACTATGGTAAATGAATATATATTTGGTCCTTGAATAATTCTGTTCTTCAATACCCCGATGAGACACAGCTCCATCTGAAGTACAGATAGTTAGTGAGAGATCAGGAGAAAGCCTATCATTGTCCAGCAGAGAGTTGGCAAAAGCAGAGGTTCTTTAAGCTAGGTAATTTATTGCAATACTGGATAGCAAACATATCCTATTGGTAATGGCTCTTCAGCAATTTACAGCTAGCAATATATGTGTAGTCACTGTGTGGGCTGAGATATCTGGGATAAGCTTCTCTCTTTCAACTGACATACAGTACATAACTTCAGCTTTAATATGCAGGTCCATCAGTGTTAGAATGGGAAAGCTGCCCATGAATAATTATAAATTACTACCAGCATGTTAGGATTGTTTTCTTTTCTTAAAAGGGAAATTGATATCCACCCACCCTTCAGTTCTGGAATCTTACCGGTAGCCTTCAGAATCCTGTAATGAAACACCAGAATCCCAGTCTATGTCATTTGCCATAATGTCTGCAAACACAAGAGAAATATATCACCAATTTTGAACACCATAACTACATGAAATACAGCAGGTCCTGAAAAGCACACAGCTTTGAGAGAGAGAGAGAGAGAGAGAGAGAGAGAGAGAGAGAGAGAATCTCTTTGTCTCATTGCTCCCATTCCCACATTTTTTGCCCAAATGTATACTTATTGTGCATTCACTCTGGGCCCAATGCCAATGTATAGGATAACCACTTGTCTCTTTGGTAAGAAATGGAGAATTAGTTTTCTTTATATTCTGAAAGTCTGTTTCAGCTCCTGACATTTTGGTGGACTAACTGTCTTTCTTGCCCTATTGCAGTGTATATTATGTGCTAAAGTTTCATCACAAACAAATGCCCTTCAAGAATATGCCATCAATAAATAGGAACTCTGGAAACTGCAGTGTGTGAGAGAGCTGTATCTTAACCATAGGTGTCCTGTGATCTCATATTCTCTCAAACCTTCTCTCTGTATCTCTGTGTATATTCTGCAGGTTAGTCATCTAGAGTTGCAGTTTATTGTTCAGAAATTTGCTTCGTCCGTTTTAACACTGTTACTGGAGCAAATCCCATAAGGCTTTATGAAACTCTACACATCCTGAATAAACTGTATTAAAATTTTCAAGCATGCTCTGCATTTTTTTCCTTTATCATAATGGGCCTGCTCCCTAGATTGGGCCTCCTGGATTTACAGATGTGCATAAAATCTCTCTCACACACACACATCCACCCAATAGGGACACTGCTTGGTTTTTTTGGGCACACTGGCACAGAACCACTGCATTAAAGATCTAAAACCATACATTCTTAGAAAACTCTCTATAATATAAAAGCATTGAAACTTCAAAGAATGTAAATGATCATGTCTAAACATGTCACCTCTAAATTGTAATCAAAATCTCATTCAGCTGTCAGAATGTTATGGTAGAATGGCCTTGTTCAGCTTGAGAACTAGCCAATTATTTTGAATGACCTATAGTAAACAATAACCAATTTCCAGGCCATATTTTTAAAGGACCTTTCAATTTCAGGGCTACTTCTCCTATACAACCCTATAATATTTTAATACACAATTTCAAACTACAACAGTCAGTGTTGCAGTCATTCATTGTGCAGTCACCATGGCTGGAGAAGCAGCACAGTGGTTAGGGGTGTTTAATCAACACACCCTTAATCCAGTTGAATTTTTTGCCTCCTTTCTCACCATGACTACACATAGTGTACAAAAACCCTAAAACATTTGGAGATCAACAGCAAATATCTCTGCACAATGAACTTTTGCCCTAATAGAATATACATTAAGCCAGTAGTTGTTTATGCTTTCTCCTAAAGGAATACCCTACCCTACAATGCAGAATTCTCACATTTAATAGCTACACACAAATGGATGATCCATTCACATTTCAGCTACCTATTAAGCCGATGGGTTTTTAAACTCTTATATGGCCAGATCCAGTTATATTTAATTATTTTTGTATAACAACTATTTGGAACTAAAGTAAGGGAAAATCTATTTTCTGCTCACCCAGCATCTGGTAAAAAATTCAATTTCTAAGAGGACTTCACATACACAGAACTGGATTCAGTCCCTTACCTGCAGGCAGAGTTTGTGATATACAACTGATTTCGAATGAGTCGAAGGTTTGGGAACATGTAGTCCTTTTAATATGATTAGACTGTCTTTCCATCATCTATTACCATGTCTATGCAAAGGTTGATGGAAGTTGCATTCCAACAGTATCTAGAGGGTCATAAAGTCCCCCTTCACGTTGTACATACTCTTATCAAACTCACTTGTCACCACTATTTACAGCGTAATACTGTCTTTTTTACATGCAAACCATTTTTACCTCTTTTCTTTCCTCTCCAATAGTTCCTTCAAATAAGAAACTTCACTTTGGAGTTCACCAGTAACTGATGCATGCAGAATTTTAGTTTCTTTAAGTTCTTCTACTGTTGCTTCCTTTTGTTCAGTGACTTGAACTAATGTTTTCATGGCAGTCTGTAACTCAGTTTCTAACTTTTTACAAGTATCCTAATAAAAATAAAGATTAATATTAGATATGTTCTACTAAGAAGATGTGATATACTACTGTAGTTAAGATTCATTTTAAATTACAAAAATGGGCATGTTTACTATTTTATTTGTATTTCGTTTTATCTATTTATTCATTTCTCCAGAGGGCCTTCAGGCTCTCCATGCAAAATTTTCCTCCATAGAGTCCTCAAGCTTTTAAAATAGTTTACTGGTAGGAGAAAGAGAAGTGGGGAGAAGTCTGTTTCCCATTAAATGAGGGAAGACTGAAGGAAGAGAAAGAATGAATGAGTAGTGTGTGGGGAAAGAGAAAAACCAGCAACAAGGGGGGAAAAAGAGTTCAGGAAAAGACGTAAAAGAGCAAAGAGAAAGAGAAAGAGCAGAGGTTGGAAGGGATTTCTGACACTTGAAAAGAAAGGCATGTGCAGCGACCACCCATGTCACTCATGCCATTCATATTCATGAGCTGATTTGCATGAACCTATGAGAGGGCTGGAGAGGCGGAATCAGCAGCTACATGAGGCTTGGCAGGAGAAGGAGGAGTCAGATAGGGCTGGTTAGTCTGAGAGACGGAACAGATACTCAGAGAGATAGAGCTGGTTAGGAAAATAGGTAGAGAAGGTGGTAATGATATAGCAAGAGAAAAGAAGTATGTACTGATAGGACTGTTGATGATTTGCTTATGTATAATGTGTATCTGAGAAACTTCTGTTATTATTCAATCTGCTTCACTTCAATAAATAAGTTCTGTTTCTGTTCACAAGTCAAGTATTCAGCCAGATGTCATTTATATTGTGGATTGAGATAATCCACTGGTGGCAGTGAGAAGAAAATGCGACATGAACCTTTGTGAGGGAAAGACAAGTAGGGGCCACAAGGTCAAATGCCACAGCAGGTTTTAAACAAAGTATTCCACAGTCATACCTCTGTCTTTAGCAATGAACATTTCACTTCCTCCAGTTCTGTCAACAAGTCCTGTTCTTTGCTCTGTGCCCTTTTTAGTATATTGTCTTGTTGTTCTAAATTTTAAGTGTTAAATACAAACATTTTAGATATTTCTTACAAGCACATGGATAAAATGTACTTTATAGTTTACATAGTTAGACCAATTCTTGGTGGCAAAATTTCTCAATTCTAATTGTGAATAGAGATGGAGGTACTCATATTTCTATACAAATATCCCTGTGTAGCTGGAGTTAACAAGGGTCCAGCCCCAGAGGCCAGACCAGGAACTCACATGTCCACCGCTACTGCTGGCCGTGCTCATCCTTCCAATTGTTCCTGAATGTCGTTCTCTTCTTTGTTTTCTAGCCACTCATAGCAGAGGGAGGGAGGACGAGTCTCCCTGCAAGGCTGCCAAGTGGCTAACCAAGCAGCAGTCTGGAGCAATTGGAAGGAAGAGTGGGGTTGCCACCAGTTGTGCGAGTGGATGGTCTAGCCTCAGAGGTCAGACCCTCGATAACTCCAGTTGTGTAGGGATATTCATATTCACATACGAATACAAAAAAATCCATCTCTAATTTTGAGTCTTTGCAAAATGGATAGTAGATTTGGGGTTCTAAAATGCAGATACAGTACATCCTGTCTACCTCTGACTAAACTTAGGACTCATTCAAATATGGGGCATTTGTACTATTTTGTCATTTTCCCTTGTCATACCTTCACCAATTGCATTATACAGTTAAAACAAGTTGGAATCCCTTAAACTTAAAATAGGTTAAGAATTGCCAGATCATGCAGACCCTGAATTCCAAAAATCCAGGAAGACAAATCCCCAGAGAAGAGTGGGCCTGAAATTAATACAGTTCTGTGTCTGAATCAAAGAAGGCTGAGACCCCTGGCAGCTGATGTAAATCTTCAAGATTAAAGACAAAAGTCCAGAGACAAGCTACAAGATGAAGTGCTTGACTGCAGAAACATGTTTCTTGGAGGACAACCATTCCTCCTAGGAAGACCAGCAGGTCAAATTCTGCAAGTAAACTCTTATACCAACTGGACAAATGCCAGCACCTAAGCCTAGTGTGGCTTCAGACAGTTCTGCTATACAAACCTCAGCTTGGGACTGCATTTCATGGGAGATAATATCTCTTCTGGTTCCTGACTCTGTTTCCCTGAACAGTGATCCTTCCTATGGATGTTAGATTGCATTATTGTGCTTTTGGATTCTCCTTGTCTGGTTGCATAACTCTTGCAGTCGCTAATTTGGGCTGTTTTCTACTCTAGCTTGGGATTTCCAGCATCTAGTTAACCTTATACTATGGTAATTCTCTGTTTGTTGACTTAAAGGCTAACCCCACCACCCAAGCACAACACTCCCCTTTGTTCCATTTTGCCCTACTTGGTCCTCCAAAGCTTCTTAAAAACAAAAACAAAGGCTGAAATACAGTAATGTAAATTATGCTATATTAATTGTGTCATCAGCTGTGGCAGTTTTCTAGAATTTAAAAATTTCAGATTCACCCCCTCACAAGGTCCAAATGTTCCTCTGGGATCCTTTTCATTGTGGGGAAGCCTTTGGGAGACATGGAACGGGTGGGTGAAAAGTCAATGAAAAAGCCCAAGAGAGAACTGCTGCCACTGCTGATGATTTTATTGCCAGTGGCAATTTTGGGAAATTTAAGAATCCCCCTCCTATGGCCGCAAATGGCTTCCCCATAATGAAAAGGATCACAAAGGAGCCTCAAGACCTTCAAGGATGGGGATCAGAAAATTTTGATTTCCAAAAAATTACCATGGCTGATAATATCATCAGTCTTATGTGGTAGAAGTTCATTACAAAATCCTTACAAAAACCAAAGTTTCTGACTGGAAATGAAACAAAATTCTAACCCCAAATAAATAGGAACAAAAATTAAAATAAAATAAATTAGGGGTTTGGAAGTTATTAAAAATGTCTGGAAAGCAGGATTTAGCAAGATAAGGAAAACAACATCAATGCTTGTGCAGCTTTATGACAGATTCATGCCTGAAGTGAAACTTAAAATGAGTACAAATGGAAAAGTACTCAAAATAACAATGGCCATGGAAACTGGGAACTATAAAGTTAGAAAGCACAAAGTTGCAAAAAGCTACTCTAGTTGGTTTAATTTCCTTTCCCAATAATGACATTTTTGAGTAGAGTTATAAACAATACCTACTTCTTATCTCTTCTAATTCAACACTTAGCTCTCTTGATGCTTGTAACTGATTATTCATGTGTTTCATTTTATTGTCTCTTTCACCAATTTGTGTAGTTAATGTTGATATCTAATAATACAAAGAACAATTGTTATATACAGTACAAACATTAAATCATGTCAAAGAAATGAAAGATGTATCATTTTCATTTTGTATTCTTCATTATGTATAAGCTTTACACTTGCCTCCATACAATGGAGAGAAAAAAACAAATCAGTCATAGAAAATACAGGACAAATCATCCTGTAATATAATTTTATATCCTTGAGAAAGATTGTATTCAGCAAAATACTGACAGCACAATCACAAACAATTCTTACAAAAATTAAATGTGGGAAATATTTAAAAAACCCAGGGTGACTGCATGAAGAGGTATCAAATGAGCTACAATTTTAAAGAGACAGTGGAAGGAGATGCAAATCCCTAAGAAAAAGTACAATGAGGTAGCCAAATTTTATAGAGAGGTTTAGGAAAGCTAAAGCACAAAATAAGCTCTGACTCACAAGAGAGGCAAAAAAAGAACACAAAGGGATTTTTTCAGCTATGATCAAATCAAAAGAATGCTAAGGAAACAGTAGGTCCACTGCACAGAGAGGATGATTAATTTCTATGGGATAACAGAGTGGAAACAGAAATATTGAACTACTTTGCCTCTGGTTCCTCACAAAAGGAGAATGGTGCTGATCCTAGCAAGCAGAAGAAAGGAGAAAATATGAGTGCTGATGTTCAGTACATAGAAAGACATGGTAGAGAAGAACCTAGCTACTTTGAATGAATTTAAGCCTTCAGGATCAGATGAACTCCAGCCATGGCTACTAAAGGAGATCGCAGATGTAAACTCAAAGCCTCTGTTTTTTATTACAAGAATTTTTGGAAAACAAGTAAGGTCCCTAAAAACTGTAGGCACACAAAAGAAAATGTTATATTAGTTATAGGCCAAAGTCCCATTGGTTAGCATAGTAAACTGTACTAGAGTAGGCCCATTGAATCAATAGGAATTTGGTGACTCAACTTTGTAAGTTCCTTGATTCTAACACACCTACTCTAACTACAGCTTACTGTGCTAAAGTATGTTGCAGCTAGAGTAGCACCATTTTAATCAATGGAACCTATGGAGCAGCTGACTAACCAAATCTGCTGTTGGGTCTACTACAATAAGCAACAGGGTTTTGGCCTATACAGTATCTAGTATAACAAAATAGTATGCAGATCAATAGTATCCAGATCAACAAGAGTAATAGTACCATTCTATTCTGCTTTGGTAATATGTCATCTAGAGTACTGTGTCCTCATTTGGGAACCATGGTTTAAAAAAAGATAATGAGAAGTTGGACTGTGTACAGAGGAAGCAGCCAAAATGGTAAGAAGCAAGAAACCAAGTCCTATTAGGAAAAACTGAAATAATTTTACACATTTAGCTTGGAAAAGAGAATGCTGAGAGGCAGTATGATAGCAATCATCAAATATTTGAAGGGTTCTTTTTGTGGAAGATAAAGCCACGTTGTTTTTTTACAGATCAAGATGACAGGACCAGAAGTACAAGAAAAGAGATTTCAATTAAACATTAGGAAGAATGTCTTAATAATGAGAGCCTTTCAACAATAGAATCAAGTGCCTCAGAGGGTGGTGGCTTCTCCTTTACTAGAGATTTTTAAGCAAAATTTGGACAGTAACCTATCGCACATGATTTAGCTATGGATTTTCTGTACTGCAGGGGGCTAGACTCAGGGGGTTCCTTCTAGTTTTACTATTCTATGAAACTAACCAGGGTTCAGCAATACAGTGAACTTTTACAAGATATCTTTATCTTCCAGCAAAGCTTTGCTAGCAGAACTTCCACTTACATTTCATAAGAACAAAGTATCATGTGAAAACAAGTCAGGTAAACCAGCTTGGTACTGTATTTTCAAACTGGATTGTTTCAACTAGATGAAGAAAAGTATGTAAACCAGAGATTTGCTAATGTTCATTTTGATAACATTCGTTCGTTCGTTCGTTTAGTCGTGTCCGACTCTTCGTGACCCCTTGGACCAGAGCACGCCAGGCCCTCCTATCTACCACTGCCTCCCAGAGTTGTGTCAGATTCATGTTGGTTGCTTCGATGACACTGTCCAACCATCTCATCCTCTGTCGTCCCCTTCTCCTCTTGCCTTCACACTTTCCCAACATCAAGGTCTTTTCCAGGGAGTCCTCTCTTCTCATGAGATGGCCAAAGTATTGGAGCTCAGTTTCAACATCTGACCTTCCATTTGATAACATTAGTTTATGCTAAACTATAGTTTATGTTGATACAAGTGTAACAGTAAATTACACTTTGGAGCAGCGGTTCTCAGTCTTGGGTAACCCAGGTGTTCTTGGTCTGCAATTCCCAGAAGCCTTCACACCCAGCTGTGGTGGCTGGAGTTTCTGGGAGTTGCAGTCCAAGAACACATAAGTTACCCAAGGCTGGGAACCACTGCTGTTTAGGAAGTACATAAAAATGTAGTTCTAAGCTACAGATGACATGATCCCACACTAGTGGGATGCTGGCTAGACCCAACTAGACTTACCCAGATATCCCTACATGGAATGACTATAACCAACCAACCACTGCAGTAATGCAACTGCAAAAAAGAGACTGAAGAATTTGTATTTATTTACATTTAATTAGTTGTCAAAATTGCAATGAGTTTTAACTTTGACTTATTCCAAGGGTGCCTTTTCCTGCTGAGGAAGGGGAAGGCAGGAGGTGAGCTGTCTCTGGGAAGACATTTTATTTGGTGTGGTATTTTTTTCTAGGCTTGTGGGTTTTTTAGCTCTTTTTTTAAAATTCATTGACCAGTCAGTCAAGATGGAGAGCACAGGATCTGCTGCACTTGTAACACCTGTGGCATGTTTGTCTTCTTGCCAAACGAGGTGCCTGGGTAAAGTTCGTTGTTGTTCATGACTTTGTGTACGTTGGCTCAACAATCTCTGACAATCTCTGACACTACCCTTCCAAGGGTAGGAAACTTCAGAATGTTTGTAGACCAATCCTGATTCCTGGTCCTGCTATATGTCACTCTACTTCCTTCTTTCCATAGGAAAAGTGGATAACAATATACTTCTTTCAAAAAAAATCTTATTTTTAACTTTTAAAAAACCAAGTAAACAAATAAAAGTTGTGGAATGGTTTATCTTGATTTAAAAGAAAATCACATTTCCTGGAATATTATTTCCATTTTTTAACAAAAATGACTAAGGAGAGATTTGAATATTGTAAAAATAAGGGGGCTGAATGTTGCCTACCCTGATTAATTCAGAGAACTGAAAACTGCAGCTTGAATGAGTTGCAATAAAAACCAATCACAGATTTCCCAGTTTATACATAACACTAAACTGTGGACACTTTAAGAAAAAAGAAGCTTCTGGTCTCTTTACCACTGTATTACAGAAAAGGAAGGAAACATGCATACGCATGTAAAAGCAAACTATGATTTAGTGCCAGGATATGAAACTTTCAGCTCTCCAATCATCAGGGATGACAGGAGTTGTGGTATAGTTATGTTTGAAGATCACAGATTTCACACCCCCTAAATGAGTATTAAATATGAACACTTCCTTTAGCTCTGATTATAACAGAATAGAACTGCCCATTAACCACAAGACTAGAGCACCTGCAAAGACGAAAGCCTCACAAGAAGCACTGGGGCAGTCTCCTTTTTACATAGGAGGTAGGCCCAAGAGAGCTTGGAAAATAGTCCTGTTCCAGGTGAGCAAAATATAGGCATTTGTCAGTGTGTCAGTAGATAGAAACTCTGCCTGCAGAATTCTTAGAGAATTCTGAGAGGTGATGGACGAAGAAAACAAATAATAAGCTCCAAAGTGCTGGAAGCGGAACAGTGCTAAGGAAGAAGGGGAAAATGGGGAAGGAGGTAAAAAAATAACAAACCAGTAAGGCATCGTCAAATGAAAGGAAACAGCACCTCCCTTGAACTCTTCAGGTTAACAGAAGTAGCTGAATCCAGCAACAATAGGGCTGGGTACCTCTAGAATTGAGAAGGATTAACTCTTCTCTCCAAGCCAAAATTCTCTCCACAAAAGGACAGGTTACTTACCTGTAAACATGGTTCTTCAAGTGGATCTCTATGAATACACACTAGTGGGTTAAGACAGCGCCTGCGCTGGCCTCTCAGAATTTTCTAGAGCTATAAGAAAAGTAACAAAGTTTGAGTTGCCCTGTATTGCGCATGCTCCGCCCGCCAAACCCCAGTTCTATCTGCCCGCCACATAGTCAGAGTTGGACTCGACCATACAGTGACGGACAGTGGGGAGGTTGGGCAGGTTGTGTGTATTCATAGAGATCCACTTGAAGACCCATGTTTATAGGTAAGTAACCTGTCCTTCTTCAATGTGGTCTCTATGAATCCACACTAGTGGGTGACTAGCAAGCTCACTTACCGGAAGGAGGGCCGTCACTGCAGAAGCAATGTAAGCACAGCTCTCCCAAACTTGGTCTCATTCTTGGCCCGGAGGTCCAGCCTGTAATGTGTAACAAAGGTAGACACATTGGACCAGGTTGCTGCTCTGCAAATGTCCTGGATGTCAACTCCTCACAGCAGGGCCGTGGATGTAGCGACAGCTCTGGTGGAATGAGCTCTAAGACCTTCAGGGAGAGGCTTGTTCTGCAATTCATAAGCAAGGGAAATGGTGGAGACCAACCATCTGGACAGAGTAGAAGAAGATGCAGCGGAACCTTTACGCTGACCATAGAAACAGAGGAACAGTCTTGGAACTTTCCTAAAGTCTTTAGTCTAAGTGACATAATAAGCCAATGCTCTTCGAACATCTAAAGAGTGGAGCATGCTCTCAACATCGGTAACTGGGACAGGAAACAAAGTTGGTAACATTAAAGGCTGGTTAATGTGGAACTCGGAAACCACCTTAGGGAGGAAAGAAACATCAGGATGTAGAACCACCTTGTCCTTGAAGAAATGAAGGTATGGGGGTCTGCCAATTCACTAGCTCTGCGAGCAGAAGTGATGGCCACCAAGAATAAAGTCTTCAGTGAGAGTAGCCGAAGGTCACAGGAAGCCATGGGCTCAAAGGGA